GAAGCTAAGTCCAGTGCACTGCCTCCACTGTAAGAAAATTCTAGGAACTCATGGAGTAGAGCGACTTAGAGGTACAGAAAACACAGAGCGAACATTAGCTGCTATTAACACTGTACAGCCTCTTATTTTCTCTAATAAAATCCAAAAAGGACTTCATAACCCCTTGTTTATCTTTAAATGTTTCTTTTGTCCTATTTTTCTAGTATGTTGACAGCAGGCATGTGGGAAATGCTAGCTGAATTTTTACCTTGATTTAAGGTAAAAATGCAATTTGGTGGATGAATTGAATTATGCAAGTTAGTAAATTGTGTTTAGCATATTATTTTGCCTTTACATGGAAGTTCTGTGTCAATAATGCCTTTGCCTCTATGTACATTGTGTTTTAACTTCGATTCTTTATTAAGAATGCTTGAATGTCTGATTTATCATTGCACTCTGTCTGATTCCACAAAATATGATTAGGGCTTAATATATTAAGTTTCATCCTTTGAATTGTTCCCATTAGGCAAATAAGTAACCAGGGTCATTCTGTGAAGTGCAGGTGTGCATGCGATATGGCCTATTCGCTTTCCGAAATGGACTAATACATTCTGCATGAGCAGAAGCTTGTAGGTGACTTACAAAAGTCACCCTCCCACACATCCATACAGTATTCCAGCAAAGAGTCTGCCAAACCATGATTGAAATGAAGAGGAGGAAAATATATTTACCCCATGTTGTTAAGTGTCAGCAATTAAATCCCATGTAGTGACATTAACTAAATAGCTATTTATCGTAGTTGAGCCAAAATAGCCAAAACAGTCATCCCATTACTAGATGCATGTTCAGCCAAGGGGGCTCTCTGTAGCTGAGGCAGACCCAGAATCTGCCTCCCTGCTCTCACCTCTGCTTGTCTCAGTGGGTTACCTGGTGGCATGACCCAGACCTCATCCCCAAGGTGTCTTAACACTATGCTTTTCACAGGCTAAAGATGTTAACCATGCCCCATCYATTTACAGTCTCAAGTGGGGAAAGGGGCATCYAGAAAGCCCAAGTGAATTGTYTGGAATCCAYTCAGATTCCTCCTAGTCTCCTACAYCTTATAAAAGTAGCCGCATCTCCTTCTGGTGAAGAGTCTCACTCCATGGATATTTTTTACTTGCCTTTTGGTTCTTGGACATAGAAAAAAAAAAAATCCGAGATGGCAGACAGAGCTTACAATTCAACAAAGTACTTATAGTGTCCCCTGAAGAAAGTGACTCCATTGAGGACATAGACTTGAAGACATAGAATTCTGGGTATCTAGAGCCCAAAGCCAGAGGGATGGAAGAAACACGTGCTCCAGAGAACCAAGGGGAGTGATGGCAGCCCCTGCTTCCACCCTTAGTTTATATGCACATTCGTTTCTTAGGGTAGCTTTAACTACTTACCACAAACTAGGTGACTTAAAATAAACAAAAATTTGCTTTCTCACGGTTCAGGAGACTAGGAGTTCAAAATTAAGGTGTTGGCAGAGTTCATTCCTTCTGTATGCTCTGAGGGACCATCTTTCCATGTTTCCTCTCCCAGCTTCTGATGGTTGCAGTCAATTTTTGGCATTCTTGGCTTGTAGATTACTCCACTCTTACTTCATCCCTTAATGGCCTTATTCAATGTGTGTGCTCTCTCCTTATAAGTATACCAGTATTTAGACCTAAGACATTCTAACCCAGTATGAACCTCTCTTAACTATTAAATCTTCAAAGACCCTACTTGCAAATAAGATCACACTGAAGTTCCTTCCAGGTGAACATGAATTTAGGGATGGCATTATTCAACCTATCACATGTGTACTTTGCCTCTCAGGAACACAGTGGAATAAAAATATCTTTGGTCCCACGCATATGGGTGCCTTGTGTGAAATCTTGGTAGGTATTGTGTCTTAGCTACTGCTCCAGTTGTATTCTCAGCACACCATGGCAAAATACCTTAAGGCAGGAAGTTCCCAGGGATGTACTACATGATATGACCAGTGGTTCCCATGGTCACAGGTCTATTGTACCTGCTTCACTTCAAGGATGATCCCTGACCCAATGCACATTGTGTAGGATCCCATGTCAGTGAATTAAATACTCCACAAGCCTTTAGGTGCCRATGCTGATTGAGGCCCCAGGTTGGGCAGGCTTAAAATGGCTATTGTTAGGTTTCCTTGCCAAGGCTTTTCAGTGTGTAGCCAAGGTCAATAAGTCTGCTTCAGAGTATGTACTTAAAGTTATAAACATTTGCTTGTGAGCATGTGCCTRCTTATGTAATGTGTTGGCAGTGTGCTTTCTTTGTCTGCCTGTACACCTATGGAAGGACTCAGGGGGCTAAATGGAGCTGAAGCTAGAGCTGTGGACTGACTGGCTAAGGGCTACTGCCACCTCAAAATAACAAATGTCTATTATCTCAATCATGCCTTGCATTTTTTCAAACTGCCAGGCCTCTGAACCTTGCTTCCTTGGCCTGAGCTTCCACAAGACACTGCATAAGAAGGAAGGCAAGTCCATTCCCAGAATGTGGGTCTGTTCCATTAAATAATGAGCCACTGGTCCTTCTAGGATGACTGGTCTGATCCGTCCCCTCAAAAAACAATTYCCCATTGAAAGCTCAGCATTCTCCTCTTTTGCTGACAGAGTTGACATTCAGCTGTGATGCTAACTACATCAGCCTAGGCAAGTTGGAGACCTTGCCAACCAGGCTCAGGGGGTACAAATGTCTCTAAATGCAGATGGTTCAACTATCTTTAGAAACCCAGGGGCCTGCATTGTGATTTTCCTTCTGTTCTGCCATCCTGCTAGGCAATATTGCTGTTTAATTCTTCTGGCTGGAGTGATGAGACATGAGRGTAGTTCTGCGGTTGGGATTTTTATGAGTATCCCAAAGCTCATGTGATAAAGGCTTGTCCCCCATGGAAGCACTATTGAGAGAGGTGGAACCTTTAAGAGWAGGGCCATGTGGGATGTCATTAAGTCAAAAAGAGAGTGACCTGGAAGGGGATAGTRAGATTCCAAGCCCCTTGCTCTTTTGCTTCATGGTCACTGAGTGAGCAGTTTTGCTCTCCACACACACCCAGCATGTGGGCTCCCTGGCCACAGGTCCAAAGCAACAGGGCCAACTGATCACGGACTGGGACCTCCAGAGTGGTAAGCCAAAATAAACCTTTTCTCTCATGAATATCTCAGATATTTTGCAATAGTGACAGAAAACTAATACAGGTAGCATTTTTCAGAGGCTTCCACATTCTGAGAGAGACCACTGGAAGCTAAAATTTGGCCAGGACTTCTTTAATTACTAATGAAAGTATGTCGAGTTTCTGGTTATCAATGTTGGCCTCGACTCCAAGTCTTTGAAATGGCTTATATTCCCCTTCCCAAGGGTAAAATTACCAGAGTAAATGGCTATACATCATTTGATAAAACAGTGAGGGACTCTGCAGGTTGGGTCCCTTTTGGCTACCATTCCCACTGTTATGGTGATTAGGCCCTTGACTTAGGGGAATTAGGCATTTTGCTACTTGTTCACTATTTTTCTGATCATACATCACCRTCAGCAAACTAAGCATTGTAATGGTTCTTCCCACCTATCAGAACTGGTTTATAGAAATCTACCCTAAATGTTTTAGTGACATTAATCTTACCAGTGCAGGGCTCTGTGGCCTTGTTAAATGGCATGTCGACTGAGCCTTCTCATGCAACATAGTCATTCTTCCAGCTGGACAACCTGTCAATTCCTGCTTATCCACTTGCCTCCCCCTTTCAAATCCTTTCCTCCACCATTTGTCACATCAACCCTGGATAAGAATGAGCCATTGCTTTCTCTGCACTTCTAGAAGCCATTCTGGTAATCAATTCACAACATCTCCCAGAATCCTACCTGTGGTGTTAAACTGTAACTTACGACAGCTCCTTTCCTGCAGTCCAAGGGAGCTGCCATCATACTCTCCCCTGATTTTCTATTCTGATCTTGAGCTGCTAGCATATTTCTTCAGTCTTTCCCAGTATATTCTACAATTAGCCAGCAGACTCCTTTCCTCAGGTCCAGAACCTGAGTTTTGCATGATCTTATTGTGACTTAACCCTAATTTTAGGTCTGAAGTTTAATAATGGCCTAAAGATAAGGGAAGGATTGCAGGAGCACAAATTGCCTGAGTAAATAAGCCTCTGCATTGTCATCCATCTTAGAAATAGGAAATRCTTGTCCTTAACTGAAAGGTGTGGGCATTGACTAGACTCAAAGGTCCAGGGAGTAAAAATCTTCAGCAACATCCATTCAAACACCTCCATCTTCCTTGTTGGGTCTCAGGTTTTCCTAAGCAGTGCTCTGGTGTAATAGATGTCTTGGATGGGAACTACCTTAGAACTATCCAGACTGTCAGTGTTTGGCTTGGTCCTGTTTCCTCGGCCCTTCTGTTGAGAGACATGGAAAGCTTTTCTTCCAGCCAACACAGGCCCTGTGGCTTTCCCACCTGGCTTTCCATTGCCCCCCCCCCCGCCCCCGTTCATTACGTTTCTCTACAACAAAAATGGCAGAGCAACAGCCATCCGAATTTGCTCCATATATCCATAATACTAGCCAGCCAGACACTACTTTCCTTTCTACCACATCTCCAAATTCWTTATAAAACTGAACTTGTGCCAGGGATTGTCAGTTCTCCACCTACCTTCAGTGATATCAGCCACATAATTAGTCTCTGCTACATATTTTCATTAGGCAAAAACTGAAGCAGTTTATAAAAAAACACTGGAATATTTTCCAAAATAAATTGAAAAAAAAAAATGAGAAATAAAATATCAAAGTTCGAAAGTGAAATACTACATCCATTTATTCCAAAAAATGAAATTTCCTGGGTAAGGCATCTGTAATACTACTTCTGGTATCATAATTCTAAAAAATGGTTAGGTAGTCAGTCACCTTTGTCAATACATTTAGGTATTAAAACAAGGATTGTTCATGATATATATTGTGAAGAGAGATAAATGGGCCGAATGCTGAAACATGCATGACTACTAACAACATGAGTATTTAATGAAAATTTAGAATATAATAACACATGACTTTCATTCTGAGGACAGACATAAAGGAAAAAATACAGTAATCCATTTTACCCATTACATTTTACGAAAYGAGACACAGTGAATTTCTAAGCAGTGCTCCTTTAATAAAAACAGTAATTTAATTTCAAATAAATATATTACCATTTTATTCCTTTATATGTATGTGATTGGCAAAAACTATGAAATTACTAAAATCAGTAGCAATCTAATCTATGATACTWCATTTGCCTGGATCAATAAATGTCTTACATTTGAAACTCATTTCTCTCATATTAAAAGCCTGATTATCAGTTCCTATAAAAATGCTGTGCCCTACTCCTTAGTCTCGTGGGACTGGTAATAGAACAAGGTCAAGTGCTAGTACTTCTGAACAGCCACATGATTCCTCATGACATGTGCTCCTGGCTCTTGTCATACACAACCACCAACAGGCAAGCAGCTCCCCTAGTTCTCTTGTTCTTCATAGTGAGCATAGCCACTGGCATAGGTCCTTCCTAAATTCAAATTAGTAAATAAATCAGATGATTCAGCATCTGAATCCTTTCCACCTTCATCTTCTTCCTCTTCGTCATCCTCTGCGTCATATTCATCATCATCCTCATCACGGTAGCCTGCATCACCGTACTTGTCGGATGAAAGGTTCTTCCAATAAGCATCATAACCAGAAGCTCCATCSCCCTCTTCAACTCCAGTCTGACGGCCAAATTTCAGTGAGCGTGCTACAAAGGACAAATATGCATTTTAGTTCTGMAATCCTCTACATCTTTKTTTTTTTYAATAAAGTATAAAATAATGGAACTTTACTCCTTATTACAGTCRAATAAAAAAGCAATCCCTATTTTCCTAATTTCATACTATACACAACGAGTCTACAAACACAACAAATAACAAAGATTACAGCTATCATTTCATTATATCTAAAAAAGAAAACAAAATTAGACCACCAAAATTCTCYAGATAAGGCAAGTTAAAGTACCCTTCATTTAGTCAATCAAGGTTATTTCTGAATCATGTAACTCACAAAAATATCATTAAAATTTTTCTTAAGASCTATTTTATAATGCAGATACCCTAGAAAACTTTTCATTAACRCTTAGTAGCATACATTTTATATCACAATCAGAAAAATCATCATTCTCACCTATGCACAACTACATCTTTGATTAAGTAGTGTGTCATAGTTGCTTAGAATTATGGTTCCACTCTGACATGCTTAGTAAAGTCAAACCTGTTTTTAACAAAAGGTGAGCTGCTTTACTGTCAGCATGTTAGATTAGAACTATAAACAGTAGACTACTTTTTTATTTGTAGTAGCCTTATTTCATCAAAAATTTTCTACAAAAACCATAACAATTATTATATGGTTTATCACAAGTAAGSACTGTACCCAAATACTACACACCTAAGAATAACTTCAGAATGAATATGACTTTCAAGTAATGAAGATTTAAGAATTCATAACTTCAATTATTTAATAAGAAAGCCTTAGAAAAACAGAAAAGTTGTTCTTTTTGGTYTTAAATTCTAGTATTTCCTGTTGACAATGGGGGCAAATACCCAAGTGAATGTCAGTATTTTTTGATGTTAAATTGGAAAACAGTACCCATTCTATTTTACAAGGCTATAAAATCCCATTTGCAAGGCTCCAAGTGAGCTTAGTGGTAGAGCAACTGCCAAGCATGTGTGAGGCCCTGAGTTCCATCCCCAGGATTGCCCCCTGTAGAAAACAAACAAAAGCAAACAACAAGAAAAACTTACTTGCTCAAGAGAAGACAAGGGAGAAACAGCAATTTTTAAAAATATGAGAAATAACATAAATGTTGTCTAAGCAAGGAAGCAAAACATTTCCTAAGTATCTTGAGAGTCTTACTTGACATGCTMAGATCCTTTGTTTCCTGAGTTTCATGTCCACATTTAGGGCAAGGAGGCTGTTTTCCTTTTTCCTGCTTAAACACCTTACTCCTTGTATGTTCATCACAGAAACAAGCCTATATAGGGAAAGTAAAAATGAGTAAATAAATATTTATATCACTCAATATTTCAAGGAAATTTTCTTTTTGCCTTTTAAATTTTTTTTTAGTTCTTTTTAGTTATATATAACATTGGGATTCCTTGTGACATAATTATATAAAAGCATGGAATGTAATTTGCTCTAATTTAGTCCTCAGTTCTCTCTTTAAGAGAATTTAGAGATAGAATTTTGTTAAAATATAAAGATTTAAGAWTTTTTTTTGGAACTAGTCACAGTCCTGATTAAACTTTCTTAAGAAAATGGGGTGGGTTTKTTTGTTTTGGCCAGGACTTGTGAATCATGACACAACACAAGGCAGAGACTAACTACAGAGAGTATTTGTAAGCATTTCAATATTCCCACTGTCCCTGATGACACAATGGTGAACAATCTATCCACCCTCACAGAGCAGTSTATCTGGGGATGGTGGAGAGTCATACACAACACTAAGCATTGAAAGGAAAGTGCACAGGAGGGGCACTAAACCATACACAGGATCCAGAAAGGCTTCCCAGGGGGCACRATGTCTTAGCTGAATGGGTGCCTAGGTGAATGGGGGTATAAGAGGGGAAGCAAACATGGAAAGTGTTCCAGACAAAGGAAACTGTACAGACAATGCCTAAAAGCTTGACAGCATGAACACTTTCAATAAACTGAAAGCCCTGACAAAACTGCAGCATAGTTGGGAGAGAAAGAACAAATAGGATTAGGAAGAAGCAGAAAAACCTTTCTTTTTGTTGTTGTTGTTATTGGTGATTGAACCCAGGGCATGTTACCACTGAGCTACATTCCAAGTCCTTTATCTTGTTTGTCTTTTTTTTTTTTTTTTTTAAGACAGAGTCTAAGTTGCTGAGAGCCTTGCTAAATTGCTGAAACTGGCCTAGAACTTGGAATCATCCTGCCTTGGCCCCCTGAGTGGCTGGTATTACATGTGCCACCATGCCCGGCCTCCCAGAAAAACATTTCTTAGAGAAAGTGAATTGGCTGCATCTGCTTAGTGATATTTGACCAAAAGAAATGCTGGAGCCAGTATAAGGAAATAGAATGCCATGATAATCCTTACTTCACCTAAAGTTTTTTAAGCAGGTGCATTTTGACAGTAATTAAAATACACTCCCAATCTTGGGGTTACAATATTCTTCCATAAACATATGACGTAAAAAACACTAAGCCAGGAACCCGGAGACTTGTGTACCAGGGGCAACAAACAGTACAAGCCAACCTGAGGACTAGTGGAAATTCTTTTAGGTCCTCTCAATTTCAACTTCACAATCTCAAAAATAAAAGAATTAAATTAATTCTTATTTCACATAGAGATCATTTATAGCTAGAAAGAATCCAAGGACTGGTAGTGGTATATAGAAATTAAAAGAAAACCTATACTGAATATGGTGGTGCACACCTGTTATCTCAGAGATTCAAGAGGATGAGGTAGGTCAAGGCCAATTTCAGCAATTAAGTGAGGACCTAAACAACTTAGCAAGACCCTGTTTCAAAATAAGAAATAAAAAGGGCTAGGTAGTTAAGCAACCTGGGTCAATCCTCTATACCCAAAATAATAATAATAAAAAAATCTAAACAGAAAAATACTTAAATATACCTTACAACGAAGACATGAATGCTGACCAAGACGATTGCATGAGACACCTGTGAGAGAGAAATTCATCTTAAAATCCTGTCAATTATTCAGTTTTCTTCTTTTGTCCTTTACTGAATTACTACTGCTCTCACCTTATCACAGTTTCCTGTCTTTTGGATTCAAATGCTATAAATATACAAAAAAGCTCCCAAGCCCCAAATAAAATAATCCAATTTTTATATTATACATTCTACAAAAGACAAAGATGGGTTCAAATATGCTATACACTTTGAAATACTTTTAATCTTTGAGTTTCTACATAATAAATATTGAGAATTTCATATATATATATATATACACATACATCTAGATAGTTTGTGTTGTACATATATCATCAGATCAATGACTTATCAACCACAATTTATGGGTTAATAGGAATTAGCCCCAAATTAAAAGAAGTGACTATGGGAAATTTTRGCCTTTTTCTTATTGATGGTAACTATGATTTAATGAGGGTTAAGTGCTAGGCAGTAGAGACTAATGCTTTATGTGGATTTTCATTTCAACTAACCTTTTAAGATATTATCTATAAAAGATGACAGTATTACTAACCCAATTGTCAATACTGGTTCTTAACTGGAAAATGGATGAGAAATATATGTACAGGTTAAATATGGATGCCCTGGCACCCACTACAGACTTCAAAAGAGAAATATTCAGGGATAAYGCCTGGGCACCTGTATTTCTTAAAACCCCTGCAGGTACTTCCTGCACATTCTGATCCCTAAAGACCACTGAAACCAACAGCAAGAAGAAAGTAGGGGTGATAACACTTGAGGACATCTAGGAATGGCAGAGGAAGGTGGGCTGTGATTTTATTTAAAGGTAAACATGACATTGGGTATTCATTTACTATAAATCCTACAATGCCTGGTCAAGTCCACAAAAATGAAGAACTGCCTCAATCAATATGCCACTGGCATCCCTGCTGAAAATTTCAGAACCATGTGTTTTAATATCTTACTAGGAAGAAAAAAAAAGATACATTAATTGAAGGTCATAATAAGCAAAACAAAAAAACCCGATTGCCTTTCCATTAAGTTTAACATTTATACTCTTCAGACTCTCAGGTATAAAGAATATCTAACATTAAAAAATAAAAATAAAATAAAACTTACATTTAAATGTTTCTGCCTCTAAAACCTGGCAGCTGGCTTGATGCTCAAATTGATCATCTTCACACAAAAAGTTATGGCAAAAAGAACAACTAAATATCCTGCCTCCTATTGGATTAAAAAAAAGAAAACGACATTTATGAATATAATAAACTATAATTTTTAAAATTTTATATACAAAACTGCAAAGAGATGGCAAGTGATTTCAGAGGTACACTSAAACTGCACAGCAATTTTTGTTCTGGTAAAAACTAAAACAAAACCAACTACTTGAACTTGAACCATAAAAGTGAGCTTGCATTACCTCTTGGTTACTTAACATAATRCAATGCTCAAGGACACCACCTTACATAAACAATACTGATTGCTTACATAAACAATACTATTACTGTTGATATAAATCACTTTTCCAATTAAAATGATCATCAAAATAGTACTTRTAATTAGAATTTTTCAGTACCCTGAAAAAAATCTTGAAAATAGCATTCAGAATGTCTAAAAGTCAACCTTTACTTATAACCAAGCTCAGTGCCTGTATCTAAGCACTCACCATGGTCCCATACACCTCGTTCACATTCAACACACTCAGCATCAGTCAGAGGGCAGGCACAGGCATGTGTACTGAGACACTTCCTACCATGGCAAACCCAAGCTTCACAGAAGTCACATATTGCACCCTGCAACCAAGGAACAAGAAAATATAATCACTGTCCTTAACCAGCTGCAATCATTGTTTAACCAATGGTAACCATCAAATTGTTCATTTAGCATTTCACTAACACTCAGAGATAGTTGGAAGCTTCAGTAAAGATTTTTACTGTTCACCCCAAGCAAAAATTAAAGAGTTCTCTGAAAAATCAYTTCACCAACAACTACCTGCAATATACAAAACTCAGTTATAAGTCAAAAGAAAAAGAAGCAATGGAGAAAACTATACACCTACTCTAATATTATTAAATTAAGTAAAATGAATTCTAATTCAAATGAAGTTTGGAGTCCACATTTTAAGCTTTCTTGTCTATTTCAATTCCTATAACTAAATTGAATTTTTAAATACCATCAGTTTTGATTTAAGAAAAACCCTTTTTATCTGTATAAGTCATAAAACAATCCTATAGCTTTTCTAAAATACCTGGGAAAATATTAAACTTCAGCCATTTTCTTCTTTTTAAAGATAACTTACAAATTAAATCATTGTAACATTTCTTTGTGGAAAAAAAA